TGGACTTCTAGTTGATTATTTGGAAAAGTGGCAGAAGGTAGATTTTTCTGATGAATCATCAGTTGAACTGCATCTCAATCATCACAAATACTGCAGAAGACCTATTGGAACCCGCATAAACCCAAGATTCTCATAGAAATCAGTCAAGTTTAATAAAGGAAAAATCATGGTTTGGGGTTACATTTAGGATGGGAACGTGCGAGAGATCTGCAGAGTGGATGGCAACATCAACAGGGGTATCACGATATTTGTGCTGCCCATTACATTACAAATTCTTCAGCAGGATTCTGTAGCACTCCTTCTCATACTTCAGCCTCCACATCAAAGTTCCTGAAACCAAAAAAGATCTAGGTGCTTCTGGGATTGGCCAGCCCAGTCACCAGAACCGAACATTATTAAGCATGTCTGGGGTAAGATGGTAGAGACATTAAGGATGAATCCAAAAAATCTTGATGAACTCTGGGAATCCTGCAAGAACACTTTTTATTGCCATTCCAGATGACTTTATTAATAAGTTATTCGAGTCATTGCAGATATCTATGGATGCAGTCGTTCAATCTCATTGGAGTCTTACACAATATTAACTCTTTTTCCACTGCATCATGACTTTATTTTCTATACTGTACATTATTTCTGTTTAGTGACAAGACTTTTGTCTAAGCAAAGTCAGACCTTAATGTCCTAATAAAATAATTAAAAATCAAGGCATGATCGTATTTTATTTTAGTAAAATAAGCGTAATCTAGAGGACTTTGCCTTTCATATAAGCCACTCCTGATACCAAATTATCAACTAAAAGTCAAGTTATTATTTATTATATATCGTTGGGCGACAAGACTTTTGTCAGGTAGTGTGTGTATATATATATTTAACTATTTCTTTTTTTCAGATGGCGCGTTTAACAGACCGCATGGAGCAACTGAGAGACAAGAAACTTATGATAATTCACCCTACAGCCGACGGTAAACTTGACAGGTTTATTTCTTAAATATATTATGTTCTTAAAACAATTTTTACTGAGATTTGATTGTGAGTAACATATTTTTTCCATTCATGTAGAGAAAGTCCATTTTCAGCACACGGCCAAATTTATTAATCATTTGATAAATGAGAAGGCTAATTATACATTACAGGTAAGAGCTGAGCACACACACTGATCACAGCTATTGACATACTTTGTTTACATAAAGCATTATAATAATGGCTTTCGAGTACCTACTCACAGTAATTAGCCTACTAAATCAAACAGAATACACAGACAGAATAGTTATTCTTATCAGATTTCTAGCAACTGCATAGCATCATTCTCAAACGCAACAGCTAAACACTGTTAAAAACCACTCAGAGGATGTAGCAACTACATATCAACATGCTAAACCCTTACTGTTCTCAGACACTTTAAAAGAATTAATACACCCTAGCAACCACATAGTAAAATAATACAAACCACATAGCAACATGCAAAAACCACAGGACCTGCTTAGCAACTTGCTAAAAAACAAAATGCAACAACACTCAAAATGCCAAGCAACTAAAAATGCTGAAAATATTGTTTAAAGACACCCTAGTATCATTCATTCATTTCCTTTTCGACTCAGTCCCTTTATTAATGCGGGGTTGCCACAGCGGAATGAACCACCAACTTATCCAGCACGTTTTTACGCAGCGGATGCCCTTCCAGCTGCCACCCATCTCTGGGAAACATCCACACATACTTATTCACTACGGACAATTTAGCCTACCCGATTCACACCTGTACCACATGTCTTTGGACTGTGGGGGAAACTGAAGCACCCGGAGGAAACCCACGGAACACAGGGAGAACATGCAAACTCCACACAGAAACGCCAACTGACCCAACCGGAGCTGCAACCAGTGACCTCCTTGCTGTGAGGCGACAGCACTACCTACTGCGCCACTGCGTCGCTGACACCCTAGTAACTACAACTAATTAACCACCTGAACACTTAGTGACAGTACAGCATCATTAAAATTCATCCAGACGTCTAGCAACATGTTAAGAAAACAGACACCTAGGCATGGCATAACAAGTCTAAACCTACTCAACAGTAACAAAATGTTAAACACCACTTCAAACACTAGCAAATGCATAGCTAAAGCATGAAGCCTAGCATAACCAAAGCATGCTAAAAGAATTGCTGAAAACACTCAAGACGCCACACAACAGTAGTTGCTAAAAAATAATGCTGAAAGACACCCAGAAAACTTTCCACCTACCACCACTTATAATAACAAAAAAAAAATAATAATTAAAAAAATCACCCAGACATCTTGAGTTCATCTTAAAAAGACTAGACATGGCATCACAACATGCTAAACCTACTCAAAAGTATAAGAATCCAAGAACTCTGGGAATCCTGCAAGAACACTTTTTTTTTTGCCATTCCAGATGACTTTATTAATAAGTTATTCGAGTCATTGTAGATATCTATGGATGCAGTCGTTCAATCTCATTGGAGTCTTACACAATATCTTACAAAATAAACTCTTTTTCCACTGCACCATGACTTTATTTTCTATACTGTACATTATTTCTGTTTAGTGACAAGACTTTTGTCTAAGCAAAGTCAGACTTTAATGTCCTAATTAAATAATTAAAAATCAAGGCATGATCGTATTTTATTTTAGTAAAATAAGCGTAATCTAGAGGACTTTGCCTTTCATATAAGCCACTCCTGATACCAAATTATCAACTAAAAGTCAAGTTATTATTTTATTATAGTTATTATACTCAAAAGTATAAGAGATCACTAAACACCACTTGACATGCTAACAACTACATAGCTAAAAGATGCTAAAACCCACTCTGAATATTTTGCTTATCCCAAGCAACTACATACTTTAAAACTACTAGCGACTGCATAGCAACATTAAAAATCACTAGCGACTGCATAGCAACATTAAAACCACCCAGACACTTAGCAACCTCATAGAAACATGTCAAGAAAATACAGATACCTAATTATAACATAGCCTAATGTGCTAAAACCATGTGACATGTTAGCAACCATCAAGCTAAAATATGCTAAAATCCACTCCGATAGCTAGCAAAATGGGCAATAATTGAAAGGGCGAGGCAGATATATATTAGGTTTTTGGTCAAACTTTATTCTGTGGTACAATTATCAAATTAACAAATTGTTAATTGTGACTCTTTTGTTCAACTACTAATTTGCTGCTTATTAAAGTTTTTCTCAGTTGCTTTGGCTCTATTCTCCATTGAAATTTAAATTTTTCTAAACATTAAAGGTTCATGAAACCCTTGAGAACTTTTTTGAGATTTTAACAGATTTGTGTAAGACAATGTTAGCACCTGTTAGCTTAAATTGTGGGAAAAACTGGATAATTTTGAGCTTTTGTCAGCTAATTTCAGCTTCCGGGTTTAAAATGATTTTTGGGGCGGGTGCACAAATTCTGTGTGGGGCTAGTAATAAACCACTAGTTAATGGTGAGAACTGATGCTTAAAGTATTACTGTTTTTTTTTGGTAACATTTTTTCTTGTCCTTGCCAGATCTACCCAGATGAAGGCCATTTCCTTAATTCGAAAGACTCGCAGCAGCATCTGAGTCAATCACTGGTCAACTTCTTCGTAGAATGTTTCACACCTCCAGAGATAATCCAGAGTGAAGAGAAACAGGACAACGAGGATGATGGTTAAATTCCTATCGACACCCAGTCTGCTTACAGCCCGATATGCAAACTCCTTTCCTCCATTATACAGTCATCCATTCTCATATTCATTCTGAGGACTTCTCCCGAGCCTCCGCATGGACCACACCCCTATCTCTGATTGGCTCATTGGCTTCAGGAAGGAGTTTGGGTTTGGAGAAAGACATGATGAACCATTGCGTACAGTGTGAGAGAACCTGCTGTGGTTTGGTCAAAGCACTGAGCTCGTGTTCTGTAATTCATGCACTGTTGAAAGAAAGCTTTAAGAGGTGATAGCACAATATAGGTCAGAATGATTGGCTAGAATTACTATTAGCTGCAGATAACTGAACTGTTTTCTCAACTTTTCCAGTGAGTTTCGATCCAATTATTACATTTTAGGCGCTTTATTTGGGTGTAAATGTTATTGTGAGCTCATTATTATCAGTCATCAGGCCTATTAATATTGGATAAATTCACATAAAAACATTCATAAATGCATTTTGGGTCAGCTGAATGTGGCAATTTATGTGAAAAAAAAAAAATATCAATGTAGCTGAACGTGCAAAGCATTCATCTAAAACTCCTGCTTGAGTACATCAGACATCCTACATCAAACAGCTGTTGTAATGATTCATAGCAACGCCCGCATGAAATCATTTGCGAATCAGAGTCTTAATTTTGATTTCCGACTTGAGTGCAGCTGCAAACGTCTTTGGATATTCATTTAGTCACTGTGCCTTAATGGAGTAAACCTGCTTAAGACAGGCAGTCCATGAGGTATGACAAATAATTTATGGACAGATTAAAATAAATAATTTTAAAAAATGTTCTAAAGTTTCATGTAATGTAAACCATGCCACAACCCTGCCAAGAACATTTTCTTCACAGTCCTGTGTATTAGTTAAGTTGTAAAGTAATACAGTAGATTAACTGTGAATACAGAACTCATAGGACTAGTGTTGGGGCAGGTTGGGTTTTTTTGTTTCATACAGTACGTGGTTAAGAAGATGTTAAAAGAGCTTTTGCATAGAATATATTTTCTTGTTATATAATTTGGCATGGTGGCAAGATGGTTTCCTTTGTTTCAATGTATCTATTTACGTGTACTTTTGACAGCTTGAATGTTCCAATGTGATTCCACTGAATTTATTGTTGTAAGTGAAATCCTGTCTTGTAAGCAGATGCACTGATGTGTAAATTTCAACTGTTTTGGTCCCTACTTGTGTGTACCTTGTACATAAAGCATTTTGAAAGCTACTGCGGGGTTCGTTTCATGTGATGCTCACAGTCTGCCCTCTTGTGGCCTAATGATAAAGGACAACAACAATTTATGAGACAAAAAGGGTTTATTTTCCAGTGTTTTACAATTTGCGTCCACCACAAGAGCAGACCCAGCATGATACAAACAGTTAGGGAAGCATTGTTCACACAAGGGAGACTGAAGACCCCCAGATGATTAGCATGTTCACTTACGGGTTTACTCCCCCAGGTCCCTTAAACCTCACCTCTTTATCGTACAATACTTACAAAAAAGAAATCGATGCGATGGAGATGACCAGAAGAATAGGAGCAGCTAAAACCAGTAATAGATATGTACATTTAAGTTACTTACTTTACAAGAATATTTAAAATTCAAGTTTGGTTAAAATACCAAATGCACAACATAAAACGATGCATTAGAATAGCGTTAAGACCCAGGCGGAATGCTGTAGGAATGGAAGATTCTCATTTTTTTCTATGAATGAAGTCTGGATGAGGTGAGTTTAAAAATAATATATATATTTTTTTTTACACCTTAATGTATCTGAGATGATGTGGCACCTTTGATGACCCAAGACCAATATTCAATATGAGGCACTTTCATGATCCAAAGACACCTGATTTGTTCTTTAACAATTCATTCTATTTCTTTTCCAGCTTTATGCTAGAGACAGTAATTATGTCTCTGTAGTTGTAGTACAACAAACAACAACACTACAAACCGCATAAGAGGGAAGTTGTTTGAATTCCTTTTTGTCTTTTGCAATTAATAAAAAAAAAGATTTAATGTGCCGAGTGTCTGCCATGCACCGCACTTATAAAAGAAAAACGAAACAGACACTGTTCCATAACACAGCACGCAAAGCAGTCCAAACACAGGCAGGATAAACGGAGAAAAAAAGCACAGAAGGGGGAATATATATACACACTTCATGGCAGTTTGTTTAGTATTACAACAAGCAGATACATTCTTGTTTTGGTTACTGAAAGATTGATCAACATTGGGGGCCTCTTTACATTTCCAACACAACGAAACTTTCATCAAGTCTTCTCAACATCATACGATTTCAGACTACCGACCTAAAGTCCTATTTCTTGGTTACTTGCATTTATCTTCCAAGCCATTTGGACAGCTTCAGCCATCTCGACTACATACTCAAATCTAAAATCTATGATTACTGGAATTCAAACTCATCCAGTTTTCCAGCAATACTGTGCTTCAGAAGGCCTCTGCTCGCTGTACAACATTGGGTCAGTACATAATTTCATTCACAGAAGGAAATATCACAGGATGTTTTAAAAACATTTCTATCAGTCCATCAGAGAACACTCAACAGCAACTTTCTCCTGATCTCATACACGCATGCTTTCAATCACGATACTCCAATCACATTCTACCGCTGATGCCAACATGGCTTACAAGCACTCAAGTACCATAAAACATGTCAACACTCATAAAAAGTGCACTCATATACATGAGTATACTCTCACACACACTTTCACAGGTACTGGTAGAAACGAGAACGGACCACTTGAGCACCAGAGAGTTTGTGAGGGTGAGCGTCAGCGCCTAGGCTTAAGCTTTTGCCCTGAGCGACCGCTACATCTCCATTAAGGTGCTGACCCAAATAGGAGTGCGAAGGCCCCGCGGATAACAGGTCCCGTGATCGAGAAGAGTGCAGATCCAGCACATCCAGGCTAACTTCAGGGTTGCTGGTACGGTGTCGTTCTCGAGCTATCCAGTCTCTGATGGAGAAGTCCTGTGAACTGCACTTTGGCTTTAAACGATCCATAGCTGAGAGCTCATTGCCCTCTACTCTTTGCCAGTCCCCAATTACTGACAACTCTGCAAAGTCCCGCTGACCACCCATGGTGTGCCTTCGGCGGATATTGCTTTTCCGTTTACTTCGTGTCTCGGGGGACCTGGTGCGCTGGGATCCCACTCCAAACATGTCATCAGCCGATGTTCGCAGTCGACACTTCAACCGGTCGGTGATTTTAATTCGCCACATGGGTTCAGCTCGCTCAGATTCACTACGAGAAGAAGAGCTCAGACTGCCAGTGGACCGGCCTTTGACTGCCTCCAGCACTCGTGAGATTCGAGTGGACTCCTTGTCACTGCGGCTTCCATCTGCTGAAGACTCGCTGTCTGTCTTTTGCCGACTCCCCCTCTTGCGTGCCAGGGTATCGCATGCAATGATTCGATGGGAGGGAATAAGACTGGGTACATCTTGCAATGGTGTGACACTGCCCCCCAGTTGGCTGCTATCTTCAGCTGGCACGCCATCTCGACCAACAGCAAAGACAGACAAGTCGCTTTCGCTGTCTGTCTCCATGGGTCGTCCCTCACTAATGAGTTCACTTCTTTCATCGTCAGCATCGTCCCCCCGGCTTTCAGCAACAGACTGTACCTCGGGACTAAGAGCAATGGACTCCACTCCGGTGTGGAAGGTCATGGAGGAGGTGGTGGAGTAATCTGATGTGATTGAGCAGACTTCTGCCCCTAGGCCCATTCCTGCACTTTCCATCCAGTGGCCTGTTGTCCTACCGTGTCTTATTCTGGGTACGGAGGCTTGGGAACTGGTGCTGTTAAGGGTGCCCAGATCTGAAACACATCCATCATCGTAGTTGGAGGGATGATCGGACAGGGAACTTTGGCGAGTCATATGATAACTAGGTTTGGGCGATGTATTGATCTTAGATGAGGGACATGTTTGCTGGGGCAAATGTTCTGTGATGAGCTGCTTGTTTTCAGAAGTGAGGTCAAGGCCATCTCCTGGGCTCTGGTCATCATCCTCAGTCCTTTGGTCATCGAGTCCTACTTCACTTTCTGCATCTTCGGTTTGGTCATCAGCAGGCCAATTTGGATCATTTTGCACCGGAAGATCTTTCTTGGAAAAACTAGCATCCAGGTCATCATCAGAGCTACTTGGCTGAGGCTTGTCCTTAGGCTTTTTGCGTTTGCGGCTAGCAAAGATGGAAGTACGCAGCAGCTCGCTACTATATTGGTCCTTACCAGTTCCCCAGGAACCCTGCTACAGAGAGAGATTTGAGTTTATTGCCATATCAGCTATTTTATTGCAAAAGGTATTTCATAAATTATCATAAAAATACATCAATAACAATAGAGCCAAACAAAAAGACAAGTTTACACCTAAATGTAATCATTCCAACATCAAACAGATCTGGAATCTAAAACAGATTTATTCTCACAATAACGTTCTTACCTTGGATTTGGCAGAGTCACTGGTGGTTGAATCTAGTGGAACAGGAAGAGAAAAGAGTAAGCAGGCATTTTATGTGCAATACATCAGAGACAAAGAGCCAGTGGCTGAAATATAAATATCCTTCACCACAACATCAGCGGAAAACAGCACAAACAGTGGAGTCATGTAGAGATCCAAGAGATGAGGGTGACACACTTTACACAGAGAGAAATGGAAGAAAGAGGAATGAGTGATGACAAGAACCCAGCAGTGAGGACTAAGACAGTAGGCAGCTCATGCACACATTCACACAGACAGACAGCCTGTCCACAGTGAGACCGCCAATAACTGACAAACACACAAAGAGCCAGCAGAACATGTCTACAGGCATTCTTTCCCAACTCAGACATCACCAAAGCAGGGATGGACATCCTAACAGCTATGTATTAGGGGTGAGACCAGGTCGAAAAATCAAGGCTACTTGTGCTATTTGCATAAAGATAAAAATTGAACAGTGTCTACACCAGACACAACACTTGTATTTCATGTTGCATAGATGCAATCATTCTTAATCCATTTGTTCTTGACAGTGAGTGCTTGTAATGTTACAATTGCAACACTGCATCAGTCTAATGTCGGAAATTTGAATCACTGACTATAGTTGTTATAGTTTAGCCACTTCACTCTGCTTGCATCTGGTGTAGACACAGTGAGAGTAGGCTAATTTCTAAGTTGTTTAAATTACATTATGAGATTTTCTAATACACAAGTATCATATTTGACAAACCTTGAAAATGTTAATTGCAATGATTTTGTTTTTAATTATTGGCTTAGTGAAACGCATAACTATGTAATTTTGCTGCCATTTGTGCACATAACCCATTTTATACTAAATTGTTTAGATTTTGGAAGAATCTTAGGGTGCTTTCACACTTGCTGGACCAAACCCAAGTTCGATTGCCCCCCCTTGCCACCTTCTCAGCTGGTTTGAGTTCAAACATTTGGAACCTCGGTACCCTTGCGTCATCAAGCTGCTGTTTTGTGTACAGCGTTTGATAGGTGACGGTCACGAAAGCAAAGCGGCAAAATGGAGACATACGCTTATCACAGTGAATTATGTTTTAACAGAATCATTTGCTTTTGTTACTTTTGTTGTCTATCTGCCACAAAAAAAAAAATATATATATATATATATTAAAAATGTCCAGAACATGATGCGATGTCTGCAGAAGTCGTTTTTCGTCTAAACAAACAGAAATAGTGTACACAGACATACACACACAAATGAACGTTATGAAGACTAACGTTTGTTGTACAAGTGGGAGTTCACTTTCATTATTTAGTAAGATTGCATTCATACCAGAAGTGAACCGTACCAGAGTTTGCATGAACTGTACCCCAGACCATCTCTTTCAGGGGTGTGCACCCAAGTTTAGAAGACAGCGTTCACACTAGCTAAACGTACTGTACTCAAGTCAAACGAACCCGGGTGCAGACCAAAAGTGCTAGTGTGAAAGCACCCTTAGGGTGTTTTTAAAACGATTCTAAAATTCAGTGGAGGTCAACACATAACTGTACTGTATTGACAGGCATTCCGACTGAGGTGGATTATGCAACCTCCAAAGTCTGCACTCCCATTGGTTGTGGCCAAGTAACCTGATAAGTTTGATGGCAAGTTACATGGCTCAGTTCCAATCAATGCTAGTGCACACTATCACGCAGCAGGTGAAATCAGTCACCTGTGCAATCATTTTTGTTGAAAGTTTTTTCTCTCGTCTGTGCAAAACATGGAGATGCAGAATGAATTAAAGCACTGAGAGACTATGACAAGGGACAACAAGGGTCAGATATGACAGGAGGGCAGAAAGGGGCTAAAGGGGCCAAAGCTTTAAGGTGGTAAAGCAGCTACGAAGAGGAAGCGAGTCCTTAAGGTGGGCTACTTGACCACTCAAAAGCCCCTTTGCTCACTCTCCTTGGAGAAACACTACTGCTTTCGAATGGTGCGTAATCGTTTAAGCCGTCTCAGCCCCTCACCACACCCCTTCAGACATTATCAATGACAGTTACGGTGTATGCCACATGAAATCCTGGAGACCATACCATGCTAGAACTCCTTGCGGTCAGCTTCAGAGACAACGAGAGACAGCAAAGAGGCTTTTCAGACACATTACACCATCACAGCTCTGTATCCTCTCTGTTAATAATAGTCTTATAAGATATGAAACGTGCAACACGACGATGACAAATATCAACTTCTCTGACACTCTTTTTTTGTTTCTTTTGTTTTCTGCTGGGTTTGTCCCGGATTTGCTTTCAATTTATAAGAATCTGGGATTTCTGCAGACTAGGCAGCTACATTGGGGACAACACTCCTCCTTCTTCCTACAGTCCCAGCTGTCCATCACAGACATTACAGAGTCCATCAGTGACATCACCGAGTGATAGACGCCGCCCACTTGGCCTGTGTCAAGATTGGGTAATGTGTGAGCAGTGCTGGACAGGGACAGGGGAGAAGAAAACACTAGAGACAAGATGGGTCAGACGTGTAAACCTTTGGTGGTTTAGCATTGACTTTTCCATTTCTTTTGGGAAAGAACATGCCGGGTTAGCACAAGAGAAAGGTAAGGAGGGAAAAGAACTGAAAGAAAAGGAGGAGTGGAGTCATAACGGAGACTAAAGCATTAGGGAGGGATGGCAATGAGTGAGGTTCAAACCAATACAAACCAAAGCAAAAGGAGAGTTCGGAAGAAATCATAGCATTGAAATAAAGACAACTAGTCAAAAAACAATGACTGAAGTAAAACAAAAATAATAATAATCAAATAAATAAGGTTGATTCATAAGCTTCACATACACAGGAACTATTTTATCCAATTTTCAGTTAGCTTATCAAATCTGTTTGACCTGTACAAAATTGCCAAAATAGTTCATTTTTACATATGCACCAAGACAAGCTTGCTTTTCGTTTGCTCGAAGCATTGACAGATCTTAATGCAAGCATGAATGCCTAACAATCATCTGAAATATACTAAGAGAATTAAACATACACAAACAATAACATTTGAACACACTGAACTTTTAAACAACATTCAATTTATATAACATCCAGAAACTTTTGAGGAAAAAAAGTTACTAAATTACCTGAGACGTCTCCGGGCGATGGAGCAGTACGCCCTATGTTAGTTAGGAGATGGTCAATGTTGGGTACAGGCTGAGACTGAACTGTGCTCTCTTGCTCCACAGTGGTCTGACAAAAACAAACAATTGAAGCAGGTGAAACTCATATGCATAAAAAACGGGGAACAAATTGTTCAGTGCCATTTGAAGCATGTGCATGTATGGGCTTTTCTAAACAATCAAAGATTTTTTAGAACCAAATTGAAGTTTTCAAGGCAAAATTTGTGTTTTGTGAGCAGTGGAAGCTTTAACCACCATGCAAATGCTTTGGTGGGTTTGCATTGTCCTAAAGTGACTGAATCAATACAATCATGTTTATCCAGTAAATCACAACTTAAAGGGCACCTATTTTATCCCATTTTCAAGATTTAAGTCTTTTGTGTCTGTAAAGTTTCAGCTCAGAACATCCATCAGATTATTTATTACAGCTTTTAGAATAATGGGATTTTCTGCTCTATACACGATGTAGCTGTTTTTGTTGCCTACGCCTTTAATGCTAGTTCTCCCTGCCCACCGTTCCCACGTGCCTGTCAGAGTGTGCCTCAATCCCTGGCTCTGTCAGATAAACAGCACAGTGATGGACATGAAGGAACCAGATCTTACACAAGGTTTGTTGTCTGATAAAGGACAGTAAAATCGCTGTAATTCATTATAAACATGCACTGTTTTACAAACGTTTTAACTTGAAAAACTCATTCTTGATCACATTTAATGATGATTGATAATCACAGAAAGCTGAACAGATCTTTTAATCCCAGTTGCTCTGTGCACGTCCTGTATTTTTTAATATAATTCTACGTTACTACGAAGACATGTAAATACGAAGCTGTCAATCAATTCGGTGGGCGGAGAAACCACACTCCTGCGTAACGTTATGGTCGGCCTCCAATTGGAAGAGATTTGGATCCTATTTTACTATCAGGAAATGTAAAAAAAAAAGTGACTTATTGTCTTTATATCCCCCTAATATAACTGCGGACACACTATACCTACAGTTCTGTCCAAACTTGCTCCCTACAGATGATTTTCATCATAGGTGCTCTTTAAAGTAAATTTCTTGTACGTTTATGGTCTGTTACTGCACTGAAGTGAAGCGCAAAATATACAGTGGAATTGGTTAGTTTATTAATTCTAAGTTTATTTTATACTTAGCTTTAAAAGACAAAGCCATTTTGCATTTAGTAGCAGTGGATTTCACTCAAAAGATCAGCATTCACAGCCATTTAAACATGGAGCACGGTGAGCAGTGTATGACCTGTGCACTGTTCACTATTAAAGCACAGAGTTAAAGCAGTTCTCATCAATTCTGTATAAAATGCAAAGCTGCATGAAGCCTTAATAAAGTAAGTTGCCTCACACCCTAGTATAAAGAAGTACCTGTAATGCAGCTTTTCTTCTGTGAAAATGAAATTATGCATCAGGTCTGAAATCTGCTTGGGACATTATATTCCGTCCGAGTGTGGCCATACATGTCAATAAACACCATTAAATGCAGCGAGAGGATTTCAAGTGACACAAAATAAGATTGTATGAAAACTAAAGGAAATGTGTAGAAGATCACAGTTTGAGAGTGTTTATATTAAGTTATCCACTACTGTTTTGAAGAGTGATAGCATGGTGATGCTTCTTAAAGCAATAGTTTACCCAAAAATGAATATCATTTACTTATCCAAAACTTATTCCAAAGCTGTTTCAGTTAAACACAAAACAAGATATTTTTAAAGAAACCCTGTAACCATTGACTAGCATTTGTTTCTTCTACTATGAAAGCCAATGGTTACAGCTTTTCAGCATTCTTCAAAATATCTTTTTTAGTTTTCAAGAGAATAAAGAAACTTAAAAAGGTTTGGAACTACTTAAAGGAGAGTAAATAATGAGTCAACTTTTGGGGGAACTTTCCCTTTAAGGGCTGAGAAATGCATTCAGAGAATGGCAAGATGACCCAGACTCACCGTTGGCTCTTCATCTCCATCTTCTGTGAAGAACCAATCATACTGTGGAAAAGCAGACAAATTTTAGCAGAAGTCTGGCATCGGTTTACACACAGATTAAACAAAAACGTTCTTACTTGCTGAATGAGAGTCTCAACGATCTTGTACTGATCAGGCATGTGGGTAACCATGTGCGTCATGTTGTCCTCAGAGGTTCTGACAAGGGTTGGGCCAAATACAATGGCCAAGTTGCGTGGCTCCATCTATTTAAACATAAGAAAAGCTTCTGAAATGTTCCTGTAATTACTAACATCTGTGCACTCAGGTAATTCAGACAAGCTGTGACAGGTGAAATTAAGCAGAACTGCAAAAGGGATTGAGGAACTTGTTTCAAACCAGATTAAAGACATATTAAGGAATGTTGAAAATCTGTAAACATTGACATCCATAGTGTTTATTTTTCCTACTATGGATGCCAATGGTTACAAGGTTACAACACAGTTCAAAATACCTCCTTTTGTGTTCAACAGAAGAATCAAGGTTTGCAACAAGACAAGGGTGGGTAAATTTTCTTTTTGTGTGTGTGAGCAATCCCTTTAATGATAACACACTTTATGAATTGTATAATTTAATGTTTAATCTTCATAAAAGTGATGATTTACTTTCAAGAATTCATGCAATGTGAGCGTTTGTAGAATACATTTAGGATAAATGAACAAGCCAAAAGCTCATACCTTGTTTTTCTCGCAGTTTTCTGAAACTGTTTTAAGATGTCCAGAGAGAAACTTGAGTGTTTCATAATGATGGTCTGGTAACTCATGAATCTAGGAGGTAAAGTCAGTAAATATGATTTAAACCTGGTGAGAACTCTATTGCTCATTGAAAGATTTCTCCCCTATCTAGCAAATTTCAGTATAGTAACCATTTAGATAAACCATACCAGTCTCTTTAGTGCTTTTAACCGCTCAACAGGGTCTTCCATTCGATTGGCATCAATAAAGTTGGAATATTTTTCTATGACCACAACAAAATAAAGCATGATTAGACATCTAAAAGCCATGATCTTTCAACTCAAAACATTAGTATAGCAATGAATCTTCCTCCTGGCACAAATCTTAACACTAAGATTACATTTTATTACTTCATAAAGTATTAAAGGAACAAATCCTTACAATCTTTAAGTCTTGATATAAAATTTCTACATATATATGTACTAGTTGTTCATGACCATGACTAAAATTGTCCTCTAGGAGGAGTCATTTCTCTACCAGAGGAGAACATAAAGCTTTCATTAAAAATGCACTCTGTAAAACAGACTACATAGTTGTATACATGTTTTGTAGAAAACCAAGAGACATCTATTCTACACATAATTCTCACCATTAGTAAACAGAGGTTCCGGAAGTTTCCTAAAAAAGGACTTGAGCAAACTACTGATCACATTGAGGTCGCGCCACTTCTGCTGAAAGAAATGAAAGCATAAAGATCAGGACTGCCTTTATGGTACAACAGCTCATATGTTGTCTCACAAGAAAAGATGTTTCCTCACGTCATCTTGGATATCGATGTCTGTCATGCCTTTAGTGTCTAATTCCTCCTGCATGCTAGAGATGGCAGCGTTGTTTCCAGGCACTCTGTAAATGCCTGTGTACTCCAGCCCTCTGTCCTCCACCAGCTTACAACACACCTCCACGATCAAAGGCACAAACTACAACACAGATGGCAATTAGCGCATTTCTTAAAAAAAAAAAAAAAAAAAGCAAAAACTGTCAAAAAAAGTCATGTCACCTATAAATAATGAATAAATGAATAAATAATGTGACCTTAAAAAAATAAATGAATGAATGAATAAATAAATAAATAAATAAACTAATTAATTAATTAAACAGCAGGGAATTCTATTCTGTATTTAAAAAACAAACAAAAAAATGTATCACTTATTATTACACATGAAGACATTAATGACATTTATGACAATTACTCCACAAAAACTACTTTATGTTAGGGTTGCTTAAATATGGGAATCATAATCCTGATTATGATGGTCAAAGTTATAATAATGATCATTTAACATGCTAATCAGTGGGCAATATGATTAAAGGGTATAGATTTTTGTCTTAGCCATGGCTGTCCACAAACCAACAGCAGAGAGACTAAAATTTTCACCTGTTGAGCTGATTAAAACAGCTGTTCCCAATCATTTGGAATGGTATAGAATTTTGTATTTCCCCATTTTGATTTTGGCATCTACGTTTCCATCCACCCATTTTTATGTACATGTTGGATATGCGCATAAAAAAAACGGTTGATTGAAACAACATTTAATTTTTTTATTTTAGAGAAGTGATCACATTACCATGAAAACCGTGATATTTGTATCCAAGGTTATCATACCATCAGAATCCTTAACCGCCCCATACCTAATGAAACCATATATGTTTTCTGCTCGACTCTGCACAAATTCTTTTTTTGAAGATTTTGAAAACAAAAATGAATAAATGGCACTTCAATAAATCAAGAACATCTCATGCTTCAAAAGTTATCTTACATGATTCCACGTTATACTGGACTTTTCAGAGAAATTAATGTGGACTGCTGAAAGGGGTAGAATGTCACGCAGTAATCATTTTAACTCGTTTCATGTTCTTTTCATGATCATTGGAGGCCAAAATCAAAATTGAATTTCGATTAGTTAAACACCCTACATCACATTAATGTTATGATAAACATTATATAGATTTAATATTTACCTTGAATTGTAAATAACCTACCCTAACTTTGTCACAATGCAATCAGTCTTTTATGCAGATTTTTGATGTGCTCATGAAAACAAAACAGTTGATGGAAACGCCAAAATGCGCATACATTTTAAAATTTTTAATTTAATGTCAAAAAACATATGCAAATAACTGAGTAGGATAAACTTTTTATTCTAAAAATTTTTATAAAAAAAAGATGTGCATAAACTATGATGGAAACACTTTCACGGAACAAATTCCAATATGCGCATTGAAAAAGTTCATGTGATTTTGTTATAAGAGATCATGGAATGAGGAAAATGTGTGTAAATGGACAAACCAGCAGGCTGAGCACATTGTGAATATATGTGTGTGTGTGTGTGTGTATGTATATATATATATATATATATATATATATATATATATATGTGTGTGTGTGTGTTTGTGTATGTTTTTGTGAATTTTAGTCATTCATTTTAAAGTTATTATTTTATTAATTACCTCCAGAACTGTCAAGAGCGTCTGTGCTCTGCATCTTACAAGAAAAGAAAAGATTGATGCAGCTTCTCCTACCGCAGCAAATTCCGTTTTTACTGTTGATATTTTGCGCCAGATAATCAGGAAGTGATGATTTTGTTCTCTTTGACTCGTTGGATGAAAACGCTACTTTATTCAGATCTTTTATGCGAGATTTCAGTTTTGCACAAAGTTCATTCACATTTTTTAATGAAAACATAACTAATGACATGTTTAAATCACTTACTTTATTGGTTTGCGCAGGAGGGCAGTTATCCAGTCGTACTCCAAATGTGACGCCAGCAGCAGGCCTCTTATCTTGTGGCTTTTTCTTTAAACCTGGAATACCTCTTCTCCACGCAGCTTTATCTCTCGGAGGACTAGAGTCATCTGAAACACAACGCTGACATCAGAAAAACATTTCACTGACATTGATGGGTTTCAGTGTTATTTCTTAATTACCTTTACTCCTGTCCTGTTCATTTTTGGGTGAGTAGGGGCTTTGACTTTTACTGCTGCCACCAAGCAGAGTTTGTCTAATGCTGAGAGACTGCCGTGAGGTCTTTGGCGACGGTTCTGTCTTACTGCTGGGTGCACTGTTACCAAAAACACACTCATTATTGGACACTAAACACAAGGCAAGCTAACACATGGCAACATATACTGTTGAAGGCTAAACTATTAGCCCTCCTGGGAAAATGCATTTCTTTTTCAAATATTTACCAATTCATGTTCAGTGTTGGGGACAGTGGCGTAGCGGACGGGCACGCAGGGCACGCACCGCACGCACCGCAGGGGGGCCCCGCGTGATTAGGGGGCCCCACGTCGTCGCGATTTTCAAAAATTGAAAATCCAGGAACCGCAATAAACAAACTCTTGGGAACAACTGTGGATGGAACCAAAGTTCACAGGTCTGTGTTCTCTGAACACCTCTCAAGCGGTGGACTACTTCATTCTGATTGCTTGCTGCCGAACTGCGTCATAGCCAATGAAGACACGCCGCTGTTTCTCGCCGCCGGTTCTCGTTAAAAAAATGAATGACTTCTGGCTACTTTGACGTTATCGCCGCTTTCGATTTGTGATCGCTACTCAGTTTGTGAAGGATTCCCCGCGTTGTCGCTCCACTCCGCCTCCTTTCCCCGCACCTCAATTTGTGACATAGATATATACACTAGATATTGTATAGGGACCCTGAGCATGCGTCAATAGCGCCGCCACATTGGTACAGTGCTCCCAGGACAAATGCTCTAGACAAGTGTTATTACGTGAAGATGCGGGACTGTAGCGCTGTCTACGGGTGTAGTAACGAGCAAACAAAGAAAACAAAGCACAAAGGCAGAACATTCCATAGGTAGGATTAAGTTTTTTACGTTTTTGTATGTTCTGAAATTTGTGCTAAACAGGTAGCGTTATTGATGATAATAAAGCCACTTACTGCATTCACCATACGGCAAAGCAGCTCCAATTCGCACTAAATACTCGGCTTATGCTAGCTTTGTTGAATAAAATCAGCAAACAATGAAAAAGAAATATGACAACGAGATGCTGCGCTGCCAGAAACTTGTATTATTGTCAGCTAGTGAACAAGTCGTTCATAATGGACATTCATTCACAAACAAATCGCTCCCTCCATCAGTATGAGAAGTGAAAGCAGGAGAGGAGCTGTGTTTCAGGACATGATTAGATCAAATTTAACAGGGAGGGTGGATAGTACATTTCTGTACACACAAACACAAGCTCTTTGTCAGGAATGCCCGTGCGGTCACTGATCCATCAATGTAGAAAAGTGATGTAAAATTATAATTTTCATAATTGAAATAAAAATAAAAATACTAACATCCAGGAAAACTCCCGATCACAGATATATGTGTATATGTGTATATCTCTGGCTCTGCCGCCCCCAAACCCCCCCGACCCCCTTGAAAACTGGGGGCCCCATCGGTGATCCCTGCAGGGGGGCCTCCGCATTTTGCGCTACGCCACTGGTTGGGGAAAGTTACTTCTGAAAGTAATGCATTACAATACTGAGTTACTTTCCAGAAAAGTAACTAGTTGCAATACTTTTTATAGTAAGTAATGCGTTACGTTAATTTTTAGTCACTTTTGTATGACTTTTTCTCACGGGGCTGAAGCTTGGATCTTTTTTTAAATAGAGGAGCTCTGCAGTTAACAACACACACTGTGTAACCTTTTTACCTTTAATAAAAACACATTAAAAAAATTGATGTAGGATGTAACTTCCTGACTTTAGAGCTTTACATGTCATGTATATATACAGATTAATAAAGGTTTAAAGCAATGCTTTGGATACTTTTGTCCTTTTTGTCTTATTAGTGAAGTAAAATAATTTTCCATTCAGACAATCCTCTTTTCCTTTTCTTCCATGAGTTCAAAATAATGAGAATATTTCCATCGCAGAATTGTAAGAAGGCCCTGCCATTTTCATTTCTTCCTGCATTCTCTCATTGTATGTGGGATTTAATGTAACGACGTTCATTTTAATTCGGCAATTTATTTTTTAAAAGTGAATTAAGTAAACTAAAAAGTTATTTGTATCACATTTTCTCAAAAAGCAACTCAACTATTATGACTTACCTTATAAAATTAATGCGTTACTTTACCCGTTATTTAGAAAAAGTTATGTCATTACCAGGGATTGGCATTAACTTTTTTTGATCACCAGCCACTGTGGCTAGTAGATTTCCAACATTACTAGCCACTCACCATTTTCACTAGCCACACTTGTGTTGGCTTTGGAAAAATCTATTTTATATGCATAAATTTGTCTTTGACATGCTAAAATTATTTGATTTAAATGTTGTGTTATGTGTAATGCGTCCTCGTTCATTTCACTTTTTGTGTGTGATGTTTATGAGCTTGCTCAATGTGCATGAGTTAATGTGTTTATTGCATATCGCATTGCATTTAGTTTTTATTTCACATGACTTTTCAAGGCTTAAAATGGATTTACCAAAAGGATTTACCAAATTTATCTCTGACCACACCAAAAATAAATTATTATTTCTTAGCCACAAATTTTAAATGTGTCAAACAAGCAAAATATAGCTGTATACATACACTTTTCAATTCAACAAAACTTGTATTAAAAAAAAAAAGACATTTAAAAAAGAACTATTGTCATGTTTTAAAAATTTGCACAGTAATCTGTCCTGGCTAAAGGTCCCAGATCACTAGTTAACTACACATAAACAGGAAGTTTATATATATATATATATATATATATATATATATATATATATATATATATATATATATATATATATATATATATATATATATATATATTAATCTTGAGCTCTTGAAAGCAGCAAGACAGTGGGCGCATGGTCATTGCTTTTTGTCCAGTCTATTTCAAAGAGAATTGATAACACTAGTTGTGATTCCTCTAGGCACGATTGCTTCGTGCAAGTAAACGGGAGTGCACAGACTTTTTACCCGTGTGTGGGAGTGATCATCCCTCTCATTCGGTATTCACCTCTTTCTTTTGCTCACGCGGACAGTTATTTTTGTGCTGCTTCTCGATTCTGAGATCACATTTGCACAAATAGTGGGCCATCTTTATTGTTGAACCCTGCTTTTATGAAAACTACAATTTAAAAATTATTTCCAATCAGCCAAAGTGGCTAGTGAGAGTGTCTGTCTTATCCTGTCTGTCTTAATGTCATTATTACAAACTTGCATTACTTGTAATATATTACCCCCAACACTGGTCATGTTTAATAGAGCATAGAAATTTGAACGATTTCTTTTATTTGTTTTTTTTTTTTCTTGAGAAAGTATTATATGTTTAAGTTTGGCTGAAATAAATGCCGTTTTTATAGTAGTTAAGGTAAAATTACTATCCCCCTTAAGAATTTTGTTTTGTATGGTGACAGAACAAACAGATTTTTTAAAGCCATTTTCAACAAACCATTGTTCAATAACTTGCCTGATTATTCTGTTTAACCATTTAAACTGCACTTTAAGCTGAATACTAGTCTCTTGCAAAATAATAATTAAAACACATATACTGCCATTATGGCAAAGACTAGTTAGTTATAAAAAATTATTTTAAATTCTAAAATGTTACAAAACATATTGTGTTTAAAAATGTGTTAAAAATCTTCTCTTGGTTAAACAGCAAAAAAAAAAAAAACTTATAAATACAAATTTAATAATAATTTATATTTCACAATATAATAATTTTGACTTTTTAGAGAAAACAAAAGTGATAAAATCAATCACAGTATTGGTCCCAAAAAAGCTAGTAAGGCAATATTTTTAATCACAACACAGGCAAAATTTAAATTGTAAAGAATCCCCTATTTCACTGCTATTGAGAAAATGAAAATAAACTCCATTTCTCTCGCTCTCTCTCGCTGTGGCCTGTTTGACCTGCGGGCATGACGTTTAATCTCCTCTGGGCTGTTATATCAATACTTTTCTCCACCACTTCTGTTGTGGATCAGCTGTGATCACCACATCTGTTTATCAGTGTCACTTATCGGTGAACAGCACCAGCGCATTAGAACCAATTGCAGCCCTTTCTGTTGAGCAGGTGAATCATATGTGTTTAACAACTTGTTTAACAACTCTCAAAAAGCAAGCTGGAAAATATTTACAAATATTTATTTATTGCTATAAATGCTCATGTTGTTCTGTGGATGTACTTGAGTTTTGTTTGGTACATTCAAACAGTGTATTTCTGAGTAGGTAAAAATAAAGGTACAGTACATATATCTGACTGCTTATATTAAAGGACAGGATTGTATCACAAATACATATAAAATGTATTTAGAAATTATAAAACAAGAATTATTGCGCCGTGAAGTAAAATATTAAATTGTGTATGGAAAGCCTTGTCAATGCACCTTGTACACACCAAGTACACATTTTAAAGAACTAATACTACTGTAAACTGTATTTAATGTTTAAATAATAAATAATCTACACTTTCGCTGTGAAATTACCACATCTGACCATCAAACAGTGTAACAAGATCAGTAGGACTTGGCACAGAACTGACATGCTGGCCTCTATAGTATATAACATGTATTTACCTCATGGATATATATTCCTTGAGCTTTCTGTTGATCAAATCAGTGCTGGTTACTGCGGCATTCTGAAAACACAAGACAAAGGATCATTAATACTGTGATAAAACACAAACCTCCAAGTACAGTAACATACAATAGACTTAATAAATTGTATGTTAATAAGCTTTAAATAAAACCAGTTCCTTTGTTAAACACAGACAGAGCATATCAACACAAAGCCTACCCATAATCCTCAGGCACCTAAACATTTGCATATCAACACTAATTTTAGCATAAGACACGCTGTTGTCTTAACTGCAAGCTGGTCTTCACATGTTTTTTTTTTCTTCTTCAGAATCTACTGACAAAGTTATGCAATACTATGATGGTTGTACAGTCAGCTCTGTGGGGGCAGACATAAACCACAGGCTTAAAGGAGTAGTTCACTCGAAATGAAAAATATTTTATAATTTATTTACCCTTTAATTGTTAAAAACCTTTATAAACTTCTTACTTTTGTTATACACAGAAGACGACATTTTGAAGATGGAAACCAGTAACCACCATGGTAGTTGCTTTTTTTTAAAGATTAGCATAAAGTTTTTTTTCCACTGGATTAAATTACACTGATTAATTGTGTAACTAAAGAATAACAATGTGCATCAGATGCTGTTCTGCTGAAAGTTAAAGACTGAGGGGTTAATATGACCCTATTTCCCCCTAAAATAGATGCTTCAATCATATCAACAAGTGCATACAGTTGTGTATTTAGGAAACAAACATACAAACATTTAACTGCTTACAGCGAGTTCATCATTGGTGCTAGATTTTAAGAGCACTCTTATAAGCATAAAATAGATTTTCCCCTGCCTGCTACCTTTGACGTCACAGCTCATATATCAGCAGGATAGCCTCTAGTGAAGGACAACTGGCCACCAGCCAATCCAGCTTTGCCAGGTTATCATTTTCCTGCAGTTACAGTAGTTAGTCGCATGGCAGATTCTGCTCATGTCTTTCTCAAAATCAATAAATGCCCACAACAAATTGCTCATTAGCAAAGATGGCAGCAGGTAACTGCTTTTGTCATCCAAATGGTCAGTTGTACTCTTCAGTGGCTTCCCTGTGTCCACCTGTTGGGGGTGTTGCTGGATTAGGTTGTCAGGGTCATGGTGTTTGTGGATTTCTTTTTATCGTGCCTCCAGGTTTTGGCCAAAAAGGTTCTAGTTTCTAAAATGACTTGATTTTATGACTTTTCTCATAATTTACAGCAATTTTTGTGATCTCTGAAATTTGCTTAAAGAAATCACTGAGAGAAACATAATGAAAAACAACATAGTGTCTACCTATTACCCATATAAATCCTTCATTATCATAATTTATACAAGGAGTTTAATCACACTGAACTGAGCTAAACTGAACTGTACTGAACTTAAACACTAAAAACTGAACTAAACTGTTCCAGTTACTATTACCATTTATGTGAAGCTGCTTTGACACAATCTACATTGTAAAGGCGCTATACAAATAAAGCTGAATTGAATTGAATTGAGTTTAAATGATCAAATCAAATATATATATTTTTTTTTATTCTTTAAAAATAGCTTAGGAAAAATATGATGCCCAAAAAAAAAAAAAAACAATATATTCATCTAATTTGCAATCAACACTGCATTGCATTGTGTTTTGCTCAACACAACTGAAATATAAACTGCAATCTCTCTGAAGACAGATTACTGGCAGCTTTAGGGCAATAAATAATATTTCTATGCATTTTTGTAGCCTGCAATAGTCTATTACTATTAATAGATACTATTACTATTATTATTTGCTATTATAGATGTATAATTCCTTTGCATCTTATAAATGAGTGGTCCTCAAACTTTTTATCACCGTGGACCGGTCAGTGCTTGACAATTTTGCCACGCACCGGTAGCGGGGTGGGTTTGGTGGTCGGAGGTTCATAGGTTGCTAGGCACCAATCATTTCTCAGAGGATGACAAGCTGTCACTCTGATACAGGTTTAATTACAAATTACAAAGCACTGCAGGGTTTGGGTGTTCTGTGTTTGTCTAAATTAATTAGTCTACCGAAATGTGTATATTCCATTAAAGCTGAATGGTCAGTTCTTGTCACGTTACTTGCGGTGCGTTCCTCGTGGCATTCATTCAACTGATGTGTCCGGAAGGCACGAGCATGTCACGCTGCTTGTGCGAGCAAACCCCCTCACCTAGAATAGACGCGATATGCGAACATTGTTTGCAATTTCCAGCAGTTGAACTTCTTGCACAGACATGGATTATTCATCTATTGTGTTGACAAATGGGTTGCGATCCATTCCTTAGCCGTTTGCAGGCTCTTGGGCATTTTCCCCTTACTAAAGAGACTTTCCAAAGTTGTCTGTTTTTTACTCATTTTGCAACTTGTGGGTTAAATTTGGCCGCTCAAGTGACCGAGATGTGAAGCAACAGAATACGGTCATGTTTCACAGTAAAAAAAATTTCAAAATAAAAGATAATTTAGACTCAGATAATAAATAAAATTGAAATTAATGATTTCTTGTATGACCCTTACCAACTGATCCACTGTTGAGGACCACTGATATAAATAAAATGTTCAACAACTTTCCATAGAAGCAAAGCAGAAGAGGTCCTTTTTGTTTGTCATTTTAACTATAAATCAGATGAGCTATTAAGAGTCTGATGCTTCAAATAATCTAAACTCCGCAGCACTATGCCTAAGTAGAATGTATACAACCCCTTTGTTTTGTACTTTTGACTATTGAGTCTAACATGTATCTCTAAAGCCCAGACCACATGAATATGTTTTTAAAAATTGTAAAAGTCAACTTTGTGCAAAAAAAAAAGTACCTGATGACATGCACTCCAGCACCAAATTCGTTGATACAGCCTAGCCTAGCAACAACCACAGTGCACTGCTCTACTACACACTAAAGGCAGTGTGGTGCACCTCATGTTTTCATAATCGTGTGTTTGATGTGATTAGCCTCTAAAAAATAAAGATGCCTGTTCATTTTATGAGTTGTTTCTTAACCACTCACATTTTTTGTAGTCCTCCATTAAGGTTCAAATTTGGGCTGCATTCAGATGCAGTGCGATTTGTAATCGTCTACATACCTCCTCATCCAGGTTGCTGTTTTCTTGAATGACTCTTATCCAGGACAGCATGTCTTCTCTGCCCTCTGCCTGAAACAGATACTCGCAGTCTGAAGTCGTTAGCCGTAAGACATTTTTGCGCTTTGTGTCACTGTAAGAGATGTCAATCAAGCAGGCCTTAATACTGATGGACTGAGGGTCATCCTCCAGCTGAGAGTTGACGTGAGCAAGCCCCTCCTTTTTGTCTTTATAGAGGTAGAGGGAATGTCCTCGCAGTACTGCGTACATCTGTTTCCATGGCCGCATACCGCCTCCAACTCTCTACAAAAAACAGGATCAGAAGTAATTAGTGGTCATGATCTAAAACAATAACAGTAAATCTATCACTGATGAAAATTATTTGTTCTTGTATGAATTTTGTGCTACAGGAAATGAGCAGTGAAAGACACAAAGATCATTTTGTTCCCACCTTGCCCTTCTCTGTGTTGAGCTGTCGGAAATGCAACCAACCCTCTTTGGTGGAATCACTAAAAATTTCAGTGGAGGAGTCTCTTCTAGAGCTGGAGTCATCAGATTTATGACCATCAAGTGCCTATAGGACCAGAAAAAACATGAAATTTTAGTGTCAACTGGCTAACTGTCCATCATTTTTGCTCTGTTCCATAATCTGCTGAATTGCTTGCGATCTACCGCTGTCACTGGCAGCTGCCATCTAAGGCTGCATCCTAACTGAAATGAAACCTCACAAGTGACTAATATAGAACAAGCTGCATTAGGTAGGCCCACACAGCATCTGCTCATGCAGAAATCCGTAGATTTTTCACTAAATGTTTATTTACTTATGTTAATGTGTGCAAATAAATATTTATTCAATTTTTGTATTAATTTCAGTAACATTAGCTAACATGCAAATGGTAATATGATTTATTTACAATACAGTGAGTTAAGTAACATTTTCAATCCTTTAGTACAGTGGTCCCCAACCTTTTTTTCACGGTGGACTGGTCAATGCTTGACAATTATATAAAAAGATTGTTTACGTTTGTCACTATGATAGATTTATTTTTGGAGAAAATTACAAAGCACTGCAGTGTTTGGGTGTTCTGTCTTTATCTGAGATAATTAGTCTACCGAAATGTCTATATTTCATACAAAATACAAAACTGATGAATCAGTTTGTCACGTGACTTGCAGTGTGCTTGCGGCATTCATTTAGCTGGGTGCGTCTGGAACGGTTGTTGCTAAATCAGATACGGTTGTGGCCAGACATTAACGAGAATCATTTATATTATTTATTAAATTTCCCATTAATTTTATTTTATTAACATCTTCCCCAACCCTAAACCCAATCATCACAGTAATGTAAAAACTAGTTGTACAGAGTATTATTAATGTTATTTATTAAATTACCCATTAAATTATATTTTTTAACATTTACGCCTACAGCAACCCAACCATCAAAGTACTGTAAAATATGAATTACTGTTAAACAGTGTCACAGTAATGATGCTATATTGGCTTGCATATCCACATCGGTGTCCTATCTAGACTTTACCGTCTGGAAGGCGCGATCGCATCACGCTGCTTACACAGGCAAGCCACACACCTCCATTGAAAATAACGAACTTTAGCAAACTCTAGAAAAGACACCATATACGGACATCATGCACAATCTTCAACAGTTGATCTTCTTGCACAGACATGGTGGAAGTTACCCGAGTTGTTGACAAAAGGGTTGGCGATACATTCCTTGGCAGTTTGTGGGCCTTCACTGGGCCTATTCCCCTTAGCAAAGAAACTTTCCAAAGACATCTATTTTTTACTCATTTTGCTGCTTGTGGGTTAAATTTAGTCGCTCACGTGACCGAGATGTAAGCGAGAAAATACAGTCATTTTTTTAACAATAAAAGATTGTTCAGTCTGATACAGAAATACAGGATTTCTTGTGCAGCCTGGTACCAATTGATTCTTGGACCTGTACTGGTCCTCGGCCCAGTGGTTGAGGACCACTGCTTTAGTAGATAAATTATACTAGAAACTTGATTTAATTACCAAACAAGTGCTTCTAATTATATTTACATTGTAAACCGTAAATAAAAGTTACAACTTTTTAAGTTACCAAGTTACATTTGTGAATAAAACTGCAGATTTTTTACAAAATTCTGTGCAAAAATTTGCCGCAGATTCTTTCTGGCCCATGAAGATAGTGAAATGTTTAAAGAAAACTGCTCTTTTGGAGGGAAAATCAGCATCTCTCACCTTCCTGAAAACCCTTAGACTTGGCTTGCTGGATCGTCTGTGGAAATTAATAGTTATGTTAGGCCAATCATAAGTAAGGACAGTATTAGTGACCAAGAACATAACTGTGTTTTAAAAGACACTTACCCACGACCTTCCTCTCTGTAGTTGTCTAGACCTTCATCGTATGACTTCGAGCGTTCTGTTTTGGTTCCCGATTCCAGAATGGCATTTCTGAGAGACTCTGTATAGATGTACGCAAAGATATGAAAGCAACACGTTCAATCTCAAATGTCAATAAATGTTGAAATGAACTGATATCTATAAACAGTTGCTTACCTTGGTCATGGGACAGTTGTCGGCGCATGAGGGGACTAGGCGTGGAAGGGCTTGGGCTATCAGAAAGTGCAGCTTGAGCTCCAGAAATCACAACTGATGCAGGAATATGACTGCCATCATGATCTACACTAGGGCTGGCTGGTTCATCTGTAGATAAAGTAAACAGAGTTAACATGAATAAAGCAAAAGTAAGAAAATATACAACTTATCCCTTATTTCTTTTATCAAAACAAAAGACCAAAACTAACTTCAAGCAAACAGCTTCACATCTTCTCAATGCATTAGGCAGTGGCTAAATTTAGCTCTTTATTTATATCCTGCTAATCTTTTCCTCATTCAGTAAATAAATAATGTTTTAAGTGCCTGAGCTTGAACAAAACATATTTTTGTCTTACTTATCAAGTGTGGACTGACCCAAAAATGTTGAGAACATTCAGAGCCCAAGGTGACTCTCCCATTTGAACTGGCTTGATGCCGTTCATACTTAAGATAGTATTTGTTGTTCTGCATAGTACAGTATCATTAAGTAAAAGCATCTTTCATTATGTCTGTCAATGTCAAGGTAATGGCGCATAGTCTTATGCATAGATTCTGCACAAACTTTTTTCTAGGAATGGGGACAGTTTTATTTATCTTATAATATGACATGTCCTGTTTTTGAGAGCACCGAAAACTTTTGAGCTCTTCTCCAGGTCTCAGCCAAAAAAGGTTGGAGTACAAAGCTGTTCTGTGCTGCCAGAGGGCTGAAGCAGCTAAAATTAAAGCAACTGCCCTAGTTCCCGCATCCTCCAGCGTCTCAAACAGGGCCAAGGGGAAGGTGTGCAAAACCCTCTTCAAGCCTAGTCGAAGTACTCCAGCATCGCCTACAGATCGTCTTGCTTCAAGACATGCAAATCTTAATCTTAGCCATACTCTGCTGCATTCATTTAGCAGATGTTTTTTTCCAAAGCAGCTTAGAATTGTTCTGAGCCTTGCTACTCCATTGGCTGCTCAACAATGTAATTTGTTGCACCGCTCCAAGTGAGCAAAGTTTTCAAATTCAACAGAGGCAAAGTGTTTACAATTGATCAGAATGTCAACCTGTAAGAACCAGAACAGTGTTGAAAGGGAATTTGAACGATGATTAAAAAAAATCTCAAGTAGGGCTGCAGGATTAATTAAAAAAAAAAATCACAATCTTGATACAATATTACACACAATCTTAATTCAGCTTTTCTATGATTCAGCCAATTATATTTTCTAGGTCAGTAGAGAAGCAAGGCAGTCGCACAAGTCTTCACAGTAACATTGACACCTTCAAATGGTGTTAAAAGTCACATACTGTATTTATAAGGTATAATTCACCCAAAAATGTAATTTCTGTCTTCATGTAATGATTTATTCATGGCCGCAAAATCACACGTGAGCTGACACACTATTTGTATACTATAGAGAACGCGTATGTGCATGCCCAATGACGCCTACTTTAGTGAACACAACCTGCATAGGCTGTGAATAACAGGTAATAAAGTTGTAAATAGCGTTCAGTTTGTTGCAGAGAGCGATTGTTTGAGGGCCGTGGGGGAGGTTTGATTTGCATGTTTGTGTTTTTTTCTCACAGTGATAGCAGCCATGAACAGCACTCGAAAGTGAAACCTGTGCACACATCATTTAAATAACCATATTGCATATTAAAGTTAGGATTACGCCTTTGATTTTTTTTTCTTTCATAGCCAACACAGTGTTGTGCATGAAAATAAATGTTTACTGTGTCAGTATATAATGCAAGAAGGAATCTGATAATGACAAAATACTAATTTTACCAGTGAAAACAAATGTTCTAATAATGTTTCCTAACAACGGACATATAAATTTCAATAAATGTCCATGATTTATCATTTTCAAGATTCATATTGTCAACAGTTTCCTCATACACGCGCATTTTAGGATTACACAATATCATCATATTAAATACACAATAGCCTAGGAAAGTCTACAATTACATCCCTGAATGACATCTGGAAAGAATGGATGAAAGTTACTGCTCTTTGAGCACAATGATAAACACTTAAGGGGCAAACCATCAGGTCATCTGACACCTCACTTCCTCCGCAAAAAAAAAAAAAAAAAAATAAATAAATAATTAATTAATTTAAAAAAAAAATTAGCTTGATGTTTCAAAATGGCAGGACAAAATATATTAATAAAAATAGAACAAAAAATCTCAAACTCAAATGTTCAAACAAAAAAAGTAGTAAAACGTAGTAAATATAAAATTCAGAGCTGACTTTCATGTGATTCACCTCTCAGTCTCAAAAGGGGGCAATACTTTTATTTTAAGTGGTTTTTCAATTGATTAGGATGTTTTCTCTGTATTAAAATTAATCAAAGAGGAGCATTGTTATTTAAGTAAACTATATGTAAGTTCAATGAAAAATACAACACAAACTCACATCTAAATGCACCTAATGCAAAATGTATAATTTCAGTCAGGGTTCAACGCTAAGGATTTTTTATACGGGTCTGATTGGGCCATTGGTTGAGATTTTTACTTGCCCTGCCAAAATTTTCACTGGCCCCACCAAAAAAACGAAAAAGTTAATAGCTATTTCTTAGCCACATATTTTAAATAGTGGCAAAATTATGCCTGTGAATCTAGAATTTAAACATTTTAAATATGTTAATAAATGTATAATGAGCAAAATTCAAGATTTTATGCAAATGAAAGAGCAGTATGAAAAATGTGCTGGTGTTTTAATGCAATTCTAAATATTTTTTTTATAAAAATTGCTTGCCAAACTGACAACAGTTTTTTTTTTTGCTCTTTTTTTCAGTTTCTTAATATTGTACCCATGTAATGCTTCATTGTTTAATTTTGCCGCCATGTTGCCATCTTTTCGCTGTACTGGTTGTTATCAGGTTACAAAAAAAAAACAAGTTCTCATCGTTACTGGCCGATAGGGGCCAGTAACAATCCCGTGTACTGTCCCGAGTGTCTTTCATTCTGGCCCCGGGCCACCGGGCAGTCCTTATTGTTGAGCCCTGTCAGTGATACATTAATTCACGTTGCACAAAAAAAAGTTAAGCTAAAACATAGTAATGTCATGTTGCAGTGGTTTTGCCATATTAGTAACTGTATTAAATCCACCTAATTCACATCAAATCCGCATTAAATAGATGCTTACTTCAATGTGTTTTCTCAAATATTTTTCTGGTTCGTGGCAAACAAAGTAGACAAGAGCCACTCTGCATATGGGCAAATGAAAACATTTCTTTTAGATAAGGCCATGGATGGTCATCAGTGCTGGCACTGCTTGATGTGCCGACTTCGCCTTCATCATTTGCGGCAGCCATGTTGCTAATTAAACATCTGGTATAAGGCAAGCTGCTAATTCACCGCACTCGCGTGATTTTGCTGATATTTAGCTGACAATAGCATACAGTACCTTCAGCACCCTGCAGATGGCGATATCGCCTCGTCCGCCCAACAAATTAGATTAGATAATTATTAGATAAAGATGCCAACTTGTCACGCACTATCACAATGTAACGAGTAACAATCACGTTCGAAACCGGGACTTACACCAGGACTTTGCTCCTGCTATTGGCTGTTTTTTAAGGGGAGGAGCTACTATATGTGCCTGCCTCTCTTTACATTTTAGATGTGATCGTAAAACACCATTTAACAGAATAAAAATGCACATTTCAAAGCACTTCATAGAACTTTTATTCTCCATTTCTCCTTGCCTAAAAAGAGTGAAAGTTAAGGATGTTAAATGTAATCCCTTGCACATCTTTTTTAAATGTTTAGTTAGAACATGCTATTGACATTAGCTGCTCTACAGAATACCCCTAGGGTATGCATAATCTTGGGTTGGACTGTATACATTTCTTTATTACATAGTTTTTAGGTTTTGTTTTTTTTTAATTATTAGCAAACCTATTCTTGCTCTTATATTCTCTCTTGTACGCAGTATTAACAAACATCAGCAACAAAGAGTTTAGACACTAAAGGATGAATAACAGTTAAAGCACAGAGGTGAAATGTGACCAAGCACAGCTAGTCCATACCTATCCTCAGGAATTAGGGAATGAGGGAAAGCCTGAACTCCTTCCAGAATAACACCATGACTCATGTACAGTCACTCTCACTCTCCCTCAGTAACTCCCAAACAGCCACACTCACAGGCCTAGATTTTAACCTCCTGCAAAAATTACCCATACTCATCCATACAAAAGCCATACAAAGATAATCCTCTGTCTGGACACATAGGGTCAAAATTAGAAACTGTGATTGTAAAAGGTTACTACTTTGTGATCGCTTAAGGCACTGGAGCATTATTAATACAAAACTGCACTAATGGTACAAATGGTCCATGAAGAAAGATTGATTGATTACAAAAAACATCAACATTATTGTCTACGTATTGCCAATTACTGATAAAAATATCTACTGCAGCTCTGAAACAATCCTTACTGCTGGATCAAGCCTGTTGCTGAGCTAGCGTTGCTATGGTTACAAAGAGTGCACTTACCGATGAAGGGAATGGAGTCAAGTGATTCGTCCAGATTACTGGAACAGAAGGAGGAGTCAAGCCGCTCCCCCAGTCTCTGCATGCGCATCTCCCGGCGAGCATCATTGGGTAACCAGCAGACACCGCCCCCTGCTGGCTCAGACCCATCCGTGTCATTTACTGCAAGGATGTACGAGGGATGGCGGAGAGGTTGTGGGGTCCCCTTCCCTGTTGGCGGTTTCTCTCTGAGGACTACACCCTCCACAGGACTAGACCCATTTACTGGTAAGCCCTTGACATCCCTCGAGCTTGTCCTCTGAGTTGATGCACCACCCTTGGGCCTTTGAAGAGGTGGAGCAGAGTAAGATGCCGACCTATATCCTACAGAAATATCTTTCCCAGATTCTGGGCTTTGCATGGTTTCAGCCCTAGTTCTTGATTGGTTTGATGCAGAATTTAAAATTCGATTTCCAACTACAGTTCCACTTTGGTCTTTGGAAGGAGGTTCTTTGGCCTGGTTTATTCCATTGCGAGGTCGCTCTGGAAAACCAGCAGTAGGTGGGATATCCGTTCTGGAGCTATGCTTATGGGAGCCAGCATTACCCCTGACGCTCATACCATACCCTGTTGGTGGGCGGTAAAGCACCGCCCTTGGTGGGAGAGACTGTCTACTGGGACGACTCCTCTGGTCTACTCTGCTATAAAGCTGCCTATCCACAGGTGCTGCCCATGGTGCAGCAGAAACTAGTTCACCATGTTCCACATAGTCTGATGAATGAGCACGGGGCTTCCGTATGAGACCATCAGAGGACACACTACGAGGAGGCCAGTCCCTGGCGTGAGCTGCTCTCTCTGCCCCACTCATCCTATCCTGCGAAGCACTGCGTGGAGGAAGCATAGAAGGGCCCTGGTAGGCCCGATCATGAGACGTACTTCTGCGTCGTAACTTATTGCCCCAGCCAGGTTGGGGTCCACAGTGAGGGCCACCATGTGTACTTTGAGATGCAGCTCGCAGGCTGTCTAAACGTTCTTGAACAGTTCGACTGTAAGCATGAATACCTTTGTTGTCAATATATTCCCGGTATGTCTGGTAAGTCCGCCAGTCAATGTTCTGGTGAGTAGCAGGGGAGGTGATTGAGGAAGCAGGCACATAGTGTGTGGGTGGAATGGCATAAGGATCACCATGGTAACCTGACGGGAACATGTCAGCTTTGCGCGGGTGTAGATATGGCGGACGACCACCAGACACAGTTCCAGGCCTGGCTCGGATAAGCATTGGATCTGGACCAACTAGACCATAGTCTCCTCTGTGACCTTGGACCATAAGGCCCATGTGAACATCAGGAGGTACCACCACTGTCCGTACACTTTCATTGCACACACACACTGCGGTCTGTGTTTTTGGAATGGGTGGTGGAGGTGAGGGAGGTACCGGTATCTCCACACGGTATCCTAGATCGGAAGATACAACCCCCGGGGCTGATGTCTCAGTGGCCTGGGCCATCCCCGGGGGCTTGCAGTCTACTCGAGGATAACATATAGGGGGTGGCTCTGGGATATGGCGAGCATTTCCACTGTATGCATCATGACCCTTAAGGTAGGCATCTTGAGAATAGGCCTGTAAAAGACAGAAACAGGCAAATTTAAATATTAATCACTGTGTTAGAGACAACTTGAAATTCATGACGATTTCCTACAAATAGTTCCCTCTGCGTGGGAAGACGGCATTACATTTGTGTGTGGGAGTTTGACAGGTCAGTAGCATGAGCTATAATCTGTTTTGCCAAGTGCTTGAGAATGGTACAATTTTCAGAATAACAATATCCAAAGCTCACAATATCCAAACTCACACAAAATACACCTTCAGTAATTAACAGAGTTTCTGCTGCCTCAGCTGTAAGAAGCAAACAGTTCCTTCATTTTCAGTTGTACTGTGGTGTTGGATAGCTATTCCAGCTTCACTCTCACACACCAAGATGTTTGTCCACATAAAGCATTAGGCATCCAAAAATATATCACAATAAACAGCAATTCAGACTAACAAGAAAGTGGTCACCCACCGTTCGGGTCACAACACGTGACCGAATCGACACTGAAGCCAGTGGTGAACGGCAGCCTTGATTAGCAATAGCACTAAATCTAACCTCTGTAATCATTTCTAAATCCACAGGCAAACTATTATAGAAAGACTTCAGTTCAAGGAACGTCAGATTGAAAATAAATATAAGGCTCCATATTGTTTGTCCTGCTCAGATTCGATAGCTTCCAAAACATGACAAGTCGTGGACTTTCAACCTACCACACAGTTACATTCCTTTTGCATAACTATACTAACTGAATCTGATATCAGGAGTATGGAACTTTGCCCCTCCTTTCACGAAATGCCATAGACAGCTTGTAACAGAGGCCAAAGTTCATTATTGGAAAAGAGAGGGAAATGAGAGAAAAAAGGGGCGAGGCACAGCAAATAGGCCTGCTGTATGTAGCTGGAAACTACCCACACACTCGAAATCGAACAGGTCACACAATCTATAGGCTGCTGCAATTGAGACATTCAACACACAACATGATACTATGCTACACAACCAAACAAATGGCATGACAGTCATCTACAGATGACAAGACAAGAAATCCATACCCAAATGCAATACAACAAGCTTTTATATGCATGCCATTATAAATGAGAGACAACCGACATGTATGTAGCATTGATCTACTTACTAGACTAGTGATTTCCTGCAAAAACTGCAGCCATTACATCACAAACCCTCGTAGGAAAAAACAGAGAGAAAGGGAGGGAAAGTAAAACACCAGCATGCAATTATAGGAATCAAGTCCATGTACTGACATCCAGCGTCACGCCAAATATCTATGTACAGAGCGCAAAAAATCCACAGGAGCTACAGTGCTTCTAGCATGGAAGGATGGTGGGAAGGTGGTGGAGTGCTGTGGGAAGACTGTCACGTTAGCAATGCCACCTGCTTGTCCTCGTCGCTTCCAGTCGAGGTGGGGGCTGAGGTGCCTGCCGCCTGCTTCGCGTAGTAGCGATCCGCTCTCCATCTCTTCTCTCTTCTTCCATCCGCAGGCAGATTACTCCGTGATCACACGCACACGCAACCACCCTCCCTCCCAGCTAACGCGTCCACTCGCTCGCTCACTCCCTCACTCACTCTAAAGCTGTAACCATTCACATGTCGGAGGCAGATGCCTGATTATACATTCAGCTCAGATGGTACAGCTCCCCCCTCCCTTCGCCTCTCTCTCTCTATCTCTCTCACACCTCTGCTGTTCACAACACAGAGCAGTCAGCTGACTCCAGCTGATCTAATCTCATTTTTCCTGCCTCTTCCTGTCTCTCTTTCCTCACTGAAATCCTTAAACCACTGCCCACTGTAGCATCCTTTCATGCCTCTTCAGATCAACTCTGTTACTGTGACTTATGTCACCAGAGACCTCGCATGGATTAATCCTCCACCCAGCTGAAAAGCCTGTTTAGACAGACCACAGAACTGACTTGCTACAATGCTACATGCAAGGACAAAAACCATCATGGCAACAGTTGTGTTGTAGGGCATTAAAATGTAATACAGGGGGGTGATTAGATGAACCAAAAAATGATTGGAAACCTTTCAAAATAAAAATATGTTTTGCTTCAAGTAAACATTCCATTTTACAACAATTACAATTTGTTTTTTGACAACATTATGACATTCATGGTAAAGTCTAGATAGGATACACGACTGTAAAAAACAACAGCGCCTTTTCCCATTGAACGCTTTGGAATCAAACTTATTAATATAAATATAAGCACTTACATTTAAAAACATGTAATAATACAAAAATTATTAAGACTGTGATGTAAGCTGTTATATTTAAAAAATATTTAATGTTGAACTGCAGAAATAAACTATCTTTCATACACTCTACTGAGTTAGACAATAAGCACAAAAAAATATTTCTCTAAAAGATTGGTGGTATTTATTAGCTTCATAGGGCTAGAAATATCACTTGTAAAATATGAACAATAACAAACAGCACATATATTTTAGAAAGGGTTTTATGTTTAAAATCAACAATTTGGACCCAAACCAATTAAATTAAATTAAATTAAATATACACACTATGGACAGCAATTTGTCATGCAGGGAAAAAGTGTGTGTATAAATGATATAAATACAGCACGATTTCTAAATATCAACAGGATATTTACACTTCCCATGCCTTCACTATATAAAATAATCAATTTGTACAATAAACTTAGCCATATTAATACACCAACTGATGTCTATATGATACAGGCCTATCTGCTGCTGCAACACCACTTGTATATTGTTTATCAATTTTTTCTTCCGTTTTCATTTTGGATATTCCATGTCTTAATATCTGGCAAATAACAATTTACCTTCATTTTAATGTTTGGTAAGTGTTAACAAATAAAAAGCCAACGATACATGATGTTTATAAATAATATATAACATTTACAGAGATAATTCTTTCTTAAGCTCCAACGATCTGCTTAGAGAAACTGTCAATCACAATTGTCAATCACGATGACACGCCCCGTTTTTATAGCATTAAATTACAGTAAAACTACTGTTTTTACGTTGCTGTGACGTTTGGGTTTAGAGTTAGGATGGCGGAGACGTTAATAAAATACAATTAATGGGAAATTTTATAAATATTATAAACGTTACTTCCGGCCGCAGCCATATCTGATCTTGCAACAACTGACATTCACCCTTTGCCCCATATCTCATCCTTTAATCCGTTCAAATTGTATTACAGTTACGAGAATCTAATGAGAACCACTGAGAATGAGACTAACAAAATACAAAGCCAAGCAGGGCTTAAATCTGGCATTATCCTGATATAATGCATGAGGATAAATTGTAGTTTTATTAATAACAATATTTCATCATAAAAGGAAGCCTTGTGTTAAAGGGAGAGTTCACCCAAAATAATAATAACAATAATAATAATAATAATAATAGTCATTGTTTACCTGCCCTTTACATGTTTCACATCTGTTTGAGTTTCTTCTGCAGAACACAAAAGATGATATTTTAAAGAAAGCGTCAAACCTGTAACCACTGAGTATTTTCCTATTATTACAGGTTTTTAGTTTTTTCAAAATATTTTCTTTTGTGTTCAACAGAAAAAAGAAACTTAAATGTTTGGGACCACTTGAGGGCAAATAAATAGTGAGTAAATTTTCAGTTTTGAGTGAGAAATCTCTTTAACTAGCGACTTAAAGCAAACCATCTGCAAAAGTAAATAAAGTAAATAAATAATAATAATTAAAAAAATTCAGAATCAGGGAAAATACAAGCGGTTATTAATGTTTGACATAGCTACATGATGGTTTGATTAACATGACCACAATTAAGCAAGCAAATGCTATTATTTGGCTGGGTGATCCATGTATGCATGTATGTATGTATTTATGTATGCATGTATGGCAGACATGTATACTAACGAAGTAAACTACTTCACTATCGTACTTAAGTACTTAAAGCTACTTAAGTACTCGTTACTAGGGGTGACAAAATTATTAATATCGGATCAGTAATAGATCAGAACCGGTTATTACATACTGACGTCATTAATACTGACATCAGTAGAATACTATGGCGAAGGATGCGAGGGCGAAATGCGGAGAAATGCTGTAAAACTCCATCTTTACCTCTCTCTCTCTCACTTTGGACATTTGACCCACTGGCCTGTTTTTGAGGTAACTTTTCCTCTCCTCTTGGGTGTTAAGGCTATACTTGTGGATCCAGACACGAGTGTGCCTGTGGTACGAGTTTGGGTTTCATGAGCGTTTTAAGGGGATTACGGAGTGTTTTTGTGACACACAACTTTGAAAGGTGTGTGTTGAAGCTATCTGTCAGATCTGTGGTTCAAGCTCAAGAGAAAAACAGTGTTGTAAGCCATGTTTCTTTTTGCTCTGCTTAATCACGTGTCCCAAAAACGATATTTAAAATAAACAAAACAGTATGATGTATTTTGACTGCTTTCTTTAATAACTACATTACACAATACTTGTACTTGTACTTTCAGTACTTGAGTAGTAAATTTTGAAATAAACTACTTGCAATACTTTAGTACTTCCACCTAAGTATGGTGCTTAAAGAGCACTTCAACTTCTACTCAAGTCACTTTTTTGATAGAGCACTTGTACTTTTACTTAAGTCTGGGTCTCTAGTACTTCATATATCTCTGATGTATGCATGTATGTTTGGGGGCTGCACAATATTGGAAAAATCTGATATTGTAATATTTTATTTTTCTGTAATAAATATTGCAATATAAATACCGTTTTACATGATAGTTTAAATTTTATTATTTTCTGGGGAGTTTAACAGTATCCAGGTACAGAAATTGAAAAATCACAATAGAAAAAAAAATGCTTTTCTTACAGGTTTTGTCTTGTTTCTTGTCCAAATATCAAAAAATTCTTACAGCACATAAAAATATTGTTCTGTTTTCACCGTCAAATGAGTCACAATTAAGAGATGTTCCTTAAAACAAGCTAATTTATCCGCCAGTGTGGTAAGTGAAATAATCAGATTTTCTCTTTGAAATGTAGATATTTGGACTAGAAACAAGACAAAAATT